TGGCATTGGCTCTATCAGACACAGGGGAAGCTTCTAGCAGCTTCTCACAGAAGCCACCCCTGTAGCCCCCCCGCTACCAAAACCTTGCCACGCAAACCCAACACATTGCATTAAGGCAATACTTCTCTGTTCCACCACCCTTATCTCTCACCTCCCCTTCCTTCCTCTCCCATTACTTTGCCCTTCAACCAACCTTTCTCTCACATCTCCCTTCTCTTCCCAGCCCTATGCTCACAATACTCTGTATGTGACCCTTTCCCCCCACCATTCCCTTTTGTGGTCATCTTGTACCATCCACCCTTATTGCAGAATTGACTTCTCTGGTCGCTCTGCTCTGTCAGTAGTGTCAGCCTGTGCCCTCTCCAAGGCAGCCTGGGGAACCTTCCAGAGGCCTGGTCAACTCTTTCCTTGTGCCCAGCAGGTGTGAAACACTGCTCTGGCAATGAATGTATGGGTGCCATGCATCAAGGGCAACACTGGCTTTTAGGTGATGGCAGAGGATTCTAGCTTTGGATGAGTTGTGACAGATGCATTGACATAGCACTGAAGTCTTTTAATTGTGGAAACTGTCTCTGTCAGTTTGAGTGCTGTCTGACAGATCAAACCGACCATGGCACTCTCATCTGTTAACGCTCATGTTTCTGTCATTAAGTACTGGAAAATGCAAAGCCGCTCCTCTTCTAGTATCTCCCCATCCCTCTGATGCCATGGGTGGCTTCTTGGCCCAAGCAGGAGAGGTTCTCTGAGGCTCTAACTCCAGCATGCTGCACTGCCTCATTGGGGATGCTTGGTGCAAGCACTGTCCAGGCTACGACACTCCTGGTTTAGGAACTTTCTCCATCTTGCAGGAGACACCATTTCCAAGCTGTGAAATTGCAGTTGACACAAATACTTTTGACAGAGGTGGGTATTTTACTACAGATACTGTAGCTTGACACATGCCTCATAACAAAAGGGCCATCCAGGAATGGACAGAATGGACAGGAGTAATTTAATCTTTCTCACAGTGCAGCTTGGGCACTCCGAATGGAAATCTTGATTATTTACAAATTACATGGGAACTTCATGTACAGAGAAGACACAAAGAAACACAAGTACACGCTGATTTAAAAGAAAAAGGTCTTTGGGGGCATTCTGGGAGGAGAGGGGCACCAAAGCCTTCCTTTAGGGTCAAATGTGGAAGGTGCTGAATTAAAACATCACAGATGATGCCCTGGGGAAGGGGGTATAATTCTGACTAGGATTCATTTGGCAACAGTGACTTTTCCTTAATTTCTTTCTGTACAGATCCTTGAAAAATAGAAATAGCCATAAATTCTTACAGCAACTTTCCTCACCCTTTTACCTTCCGGTGCAAAAATATTCCTCTGCATGGACTTGCCATGCTGAACTGAAGCATCTGATCTTGAGCCATTTCTGTCCTCTGAGAGCTGTCTCCTTTTCAAATCTCTCTGCTGGGCAGCATGGGAGAACAGCTTGCTGAACCAGTAAAAGACAACAGCCAGATTTTGAAGAATCAGACTTTTGTGCTTGGAATCCTGAGTTTGGTTTTCCCTTCACTTCTATTTCTTTGAGTAAGTCCTGCAAAATGCTTCAGCCATCACTGAAGGGTGTTGGTGGCAGGTGGGGAGTCATATAGATGAGTCTCTGGTGGACTTCAGCTGCATAATGTTGCCCCTGCTAACAAACGGGTAAGCTGTGCAAAGGCACCCAGCTGCTACTGTAAATCCCAGACTGCACCAAGCACGAAATACAGACCAGTCGTATCCATGTTCTACAGCATCAGGAAGAGTATAGATGAATGCGCGGAGGTGGTTTAGGTCATATGATAAGCTGGCTGCATTGCAGGAATATAGTGCAAAATATTCCTGTAAATGAAATAATCATGTTGTTATTTTGAAATGTAGCATAGCATGAATAACAAAATAAATGTTAGGCCTTACTAATCAAATAACTTGTACCCAGCTTTGTTGGTATAACAAAGGGTAGCACACAGGTGATAATTACTGACATTCATAAAGTTGTCATGTATTACCCAGTTACGCAAGGCTAAGCCCTGGCTCTGTGGTTGTGAACTGCATCCAGCAAACTTCTTGGTTGTGACTTTGAAGAATAAGAGAGTCTCCTCTGTGACATCAGAACGCCGCCCTTTGAACAGAGCAAGGTACCCAAAGCCTCCGTGATCAGATCTGACCCATGGGACGCAATAACATCATGCAAAGTGGCACTGTGATGCCGAATCCCCTCTGCAGGAGCAGAGCCTGCTGCACGCCTCAGAGCAGCCGGGGAAATTGTTTTGCATGTGCTGTGTGTAATCTGATCTGGAAGTTATTGAGCAGGTAATCTACATCCACAGGTGGTCCCCTACATACCTCTGTAGAGGAACTGCTCAGGCTAAATCACTCTCCAGCTCTTTGCTGTCACCCTTCTCCCAGCCTAGGTTTTCTGTTGGGTCACTTTTCCTTAAGTGTTTTTCATTAGGCCATGTTTTTCATTAAGAGCTAAATTAGCCATGCACAATGAGCCTTTCCTCAGGCCTGTGCTTTCCAAATGTACTACAAAAATACAGCTGTGCTGTGCGTTGCAGCTGCTCAAATCAAAATATTTCCTCTCGCCCAAGAGAAGGTGTTGTGCTTAGCCTCGTGAGTTTGGATGGTTTGAACTCATCCTGGCTTTGTGTTCACAGATTTTTACCTTTATTGATGTCATCTACCTAGACTTGTGCAAGCATTTGACACTGTCCCACACAACATCCTTGTCTCTGAATTGGAGAGACATGGATTTGATGGATGGACCACTCAGTGGATAAGGAATTGACAGAAAGGTTGCACTCAAAGAGTTGTGATCAATGACTCGATGTCCAAGTGGAGACCAGTGACGAGTGGTGTTCCTCAGGAGTTGGTACTGGGACCAGCACTGTTCAACATCCTTGTCGGTGATATGGACAGTGGGATCGAGTGCACCCTCAGCAAGTTTGCTGACGACACCAAGCTGTGTGGTACAGTTGACATGCTGGAGGGAAGGGATGCTATCCAGAGCGATCTCGACAGGCTGGAGAGGTGGGCCCATGTCAACCGCATGAAGTTCAACAAGGCCAAATGCAAGGTCCTGGGTTGGGGCAATCCCAAGCACAACTACAGGCTGGGCGGAGAATGGATTGAAAGCAGCCCTGAGGAGAAGGACTTGGGGGTGTTGGTGGAGGAGAAGCTCAACATGACGCAGCAATGTGCGCGTGCAGCCCAGAAAGCCAACCATATTCTGGGCTGCATCAAAAGAGGCGTGACCAGCAGGTAGAGGGAGGTGATCCTGCCCCTCTACTCTGCTCTGGTGAGACCCCACCTGGAGTATTGCATCCAGCTCTGGGGTCCCTAGTACAAGAGAGACATGGAGCTGTTGGAGCAAGTCCAGAAAAGCGCAATGAAGCTGATCAGAGGGCTGGAACACCTCTCCTATGAGGACAGGCTGAGAGGACTGGAGTTGTTCAGTGTGGAGAAGAGAAGGCTCTGGGGAGACCTAAATGTGGCCTTCCAGTACCTAAAGGGGCCTAGAAGAAAGCTGGAGGGACTGTTTATCAGGGAGTGCAGTGATAGGACAAGGGGTAATGGCTTTAAGCTGAAGGAGGGTCGATTTAGATTAGAAATTAGGAAGAAATTCTTTACTATGAGAGTGGTGAGGCACTGGAACATGTTGCCCAGAGAAGTTGTGGATGCCCCATCACTGGAAGCGTTCAAGGTCAGGTTGGATGGGGCTTTGAGCAACATGATTTAGTGGAGGGTGTCCCTGCTATGGCAGGGGGGGTTGGAACTAGATGATCTTTAAGGTCTCCTCCAACCCAAACCATTCTATGATTCTATGATTGCTCCCCCTCTAAACAACCTCTACTTTATGACTAAGTTTTATTTTTTTTTGAAGTATTCCTCTTTCCTACTTCACTGTTAAAAGAAATATTTAGTCCACCACCAAGGACTGCAAACTGGAGCAAGGGACCGTTCTGTTCTGGAGAGGAGAGAGATTGCTTCATATGTAAAGAGGAGTGAGTGGTTGTTATAGCCCCACGGTACTTTCCTGCTGCTGCATGAGGCCTAGAGCATTTTTCACAGGTCTTTTGTTTGTAATTCTTGGTTATTCCACTTGTATGACTAAGCAGCTTGCTTCATGCAAGGCACAGTAACTGGAGATCAGAAGGAAAGGCATGCTCCACTCACGGGCAGCGTACGCTACCTACCCAAGGGAAACCTGGTGAAGACTTCCTCTGTAATTAGCATGCTAGAATGACATGTTACCTGTCATCAGGAGCAGCAGACCTGCAACATACTGGGTGAGGCTCTCCTCCTGAAAGAAGCTGACTGCTGTTATGACACATCTGCAGAGAAGAACACCTGCAGCCATGCCCAGGAATCTGCCCGTGATCCTTCTCAAGTCTGTTTCCACCAAACCCAAGAAATTAAGAGCGGGTGTTACCACAGACAAGCCTTCCACTGCAGGAGGAAGTGGAGGGACACCCAGAAATAGCCATGAGTGCAGCTGGCCCGTGCCAGGCAGACACACAGTAGGAGTAATCCCAGACTGACAAGTGATTACCTGTAAGTAGAAAGTGATCCTGTAGCAAGGCTGCTACAGACTAGCGGTTTTGTAGTTGTGCTATAAACTTCCCACTATCATATGAACCATATAATCATACGGCTTCAGCCATCAGGATGTGGGTGCAGCATGGTTTTATGCAGACACACCGTGACACATTCTTTGATCTCTATTTCCTTCTAGAGTTTAAATTTAAAGTAACTTGGAAGGACAGAAATGCTCTAGTTTCTAAATGCCAGGGAGTTTCCATGCAGACAGGTTCTGCCACAATTGTTTAGCACATGTCTTCTGTTGTCAGCTTCTGACATGTCTCCTGCTGGACCTTTTCCAGTGACACTAGAATGCAGATTTTCAAGCTGGTGTCTGCACACCCCTGAGAGGTGAGGGGAGAGGTGATCTGCCTGTGAAAAGTGGCTAAGAGCAGGTTACATTCAACAAGCTTAAAAAAGCGTGGTGGTCACACTTTCCTGGACTGACTGTAACGGCCTGCAAGTAAAAATGAGGGTGAAAATTGCTGAAGGCTGGGCCCTGGTGGGATCCTGCCTCCTCAGCCCCCTCCTCTGCAAACTAGTGGCTTATTGCTGCGTTTTTCACATGTGTTTTCATGGTTTTGGCTAGGACAGAGTTAATTTTCACATGAAGCTGGGAAGGGACACAGCCAGCACAGCTGACTCAAACTAGCCAAAGGGATATTCCATACCATATGACATCATACCCAGTATACAAGGGTGGCTGGCTGGGGAGGAGGGCTTGCTGCTTGGGGACGGACTGGGCATCCGGTCGGGTGAGCAAATTGCTTTCTCACCCGCTTTGTATATTCTGTTATAAATACTGCTGTTAATTTTCTCTTCCCTTGCTGTCGTAGTAAGCTGTCCTTATCCCAACCCACGAGTTTTACGTTTTTCTTCTGATTCTGCTCCCCGTCCCACCGTGGCGCTTAGCTGCCGGTTGGGGCTAAACCACTACAACATGACAGGGAGAACACAAGCCATGGGCCTCACCAGGGAGGAGTGGGCTGTGCTGAACCCTTATGGAGCAGATGCCAATCTGCTGGTGGATCGTGTTCATCAGGTTGAAGGGGACATTGCGCAAGCGTACCAGCTGGGAAAAGTGGTACTTGGTAGCAATGCATCTCTGAGCGATGCCTGCTGGAGAGGAAGATGAGGCATTCTCATACCAGGTAACCAAAATCAGCACCAATCTCCCCTCCCAGTGCTGGGAATTATCTCCCTTTCCCACAGTTTGTCCTTGTCATCTGCCGTCCTCTTCCCCATTGTTTTACCATCTGCTTGGCTCCTTCACTTCCTTTCTCCTCTGAGTAATCAGCTCTGCTCAGCTTCTCCCAGTACCAGCATCTGTGTCCTGGATCCTCCAGGGACCACTGATGGCCAGCAGCACTCGTAAAATATTACCTATTAAATGGGAGCCTGACTTCTTCCCCTGCTCCTTGCTCCTCCCAAAAGGATACTGCTTCTCTCTGAAAGACACATGAGTATTTCCACACAGAGACGTAAAAACATGGGGAAATGCTTACTACTGGGCTGCTGAGCAAAGACAGTGTTTTAACTCTCACGCTATACTTGCGCCTCTCTTAGCAAAGACAAAACCTTCCCAGAAAAAGCCTGCACTGCAGTAGGAGAAACAATGCTCTGACTAACGCAAAATCATGGGCAGGAACCCTACCTGCTGGAAACTAGCTATTGCTAACTTCTCCCAAGCAGCTCGCGCTGGCTGGTGGCAGTGCTGGCTGAGCCACGGAACTTGCAGAGGAGAGGGAAGGAGTGGGAGATGGACTTGACCTCATGCAGGCTTTATTTTTCACAAGAGGGGAGGGGAAAAAACAAAAAAAAAAAAAAAAAAGGAGAAAGCGGTGCAGGGGTCTGGCTAGAGTCCAGTTGCCACATGCTGCACCACTGATCGGTATCCTCAAAGGGCCACCATCTGGCATATGCCATGGAAATGTGCCCTACATCACCCATGGAGCTACCACTGCCCTGGGGCATCATTTCCCTAAAAAATGGCATTTTTGCCTTCCGTGTTCTTTGCAGAGCAAATGCCAGCATGACCTGTCACTGGCACCTTGTTCTTCAGCATGACACCACGGAGGTGGCTGTTTTAAAAGGCAGTCTTGAAAAACGCAGCCACTTACAGATAAACTAGGCACACAGTGCAAAGGGTCTCATCCTGCAAGGGTACCCCTCCTTGAGCCAGGGTGCTGAGTGCTTGGGAGAGTGGAGCTGGGCTTGCTCGGCTGAATGGGGAGCAACCAGCAAAAGGCATCCCAGAACAGACCGGAGTTGACATGGGATGCCACAAGGAAGTGGTATCCAAGAGATGCTGGCTAAGGTGAGGAGGGTCCAGGGGACAGACAGCTGCTCTGGGGAGGCCTTAAAGAGGAACAGAGCATGGAAGAAGCCAAGTTTTCAGGCTGTTGACATCATGCTGGAAAGATTTATTTTCTTTTTTTCTGTGAAGCACAACGTAAAAGCTCCATGTTTGAGGAGAGGGGAAAAAACGTCCAGGCTGCACTGCTGCTTTTTTACTCTTAGAGTCATCCCTAAAAGTTTGAGGCTTAGCTGTACTCCCTGGACATCAGGAGTGACTGCAACAGGAGTATACCAGTGTGGGACCTGTGTACATGGGCCTCCTACATGCGAAGCTAGCTGGGCCCTCTAAATTTAAACTTTCCTTCATACGCTTTCTTTGGGACACAGCTTACAACCACAAAACAACCTGCCCCAGAACTGACACAAACCGCAGCTCTTCCCCTGACCAAGGCAGGCTTTGGCATCACAGAAAACACTTGCCTACCTCCATGTCTGATCCCACCAGGCTCAAGCAGGTGGTCTGTGGCCCCTGTAAGAACACCCTCCCTCTCGCAGCAGCTTCAGTCCCATAAGCAGAAGGGACAGGCTGGCCCCAGGCCACACCTTCTGACCGCAGCACCTGCAGATGCAGCGCCTTGCCTTTTGTCTGGCATGGAAAGATGCCAGAGGGGTGGGAAGAGGTCTCCAAGGACGACACATTGCATTGGCATCACCCAGCTGGGCTGGAGCCCGCTGGAGCGTGCCATCGCATATTGGCCGAGGAGCAAGCGCTCCCGCTTCAAGCAGTGGCCAGGATTTAGGGCTGTAGAGCGTGAAGCTGCATTTTGGGTCTAAGCAGCAGCAGCAGCAGGATGGATGGGTTGTGAGTGCAGCTGGAAATAACAAGGCATCCAGCCTCAGCAAGGTATTTTCTGTGGCTGTGGGGTGCCACTGACTACAGCTGGGGCTCGTGATCCCTGGAGGAACAGCAGTCAAATGTCACAGTGAATCGCCCATCATCACCAGAAGAACTCTTACAACAAGAGCATTGGCTGAACTGTCACAGAAATGTTTAACACCCAAATAAGGTTTTATTGAATTCCTTTGACCTTTCTGAGCAGTGCTGGAGGAGCCTAGCCTGCCTCCCTGCAGCAAATGGCACAACTGTCCTACTGTAGCCACGTCTATGAAATAGGAGGAAAAACAGAAAGCGGGAGAAGTCACCCCAAAGCTTGGGGAAGCAAATGATGCCCAATACCATTTGTTCTGACCTGTTTCTGAACACAGCAGAGGACACATCTGTCAGCTCCATCTGTCTCTCTTACCAAGAAGGGACACAGACACTCCCAGAGAAACCCGTGGCTGTTGTTACAAGAACAGAGGAAGTGCAGGCAGTTGCTGTGGATAGAAAGCAGGATTTAAGGGGAAAAATAACCATGCTTGCTTCATTCATAACCATTTCTACCCAAGCAGAACTTGGGGCAAGGACAAAACATGGGAACAACTATAACCCGTTTCCCCTCTAATGAGATAAAAATAAAGACTGAGAGGCAAGAGCAGGCGGGTGACGACGTTATCGGTGCTCCCCAGCAGGATGTTCGTTAGCCTTTCTGGACAGAGCTCAAACTCCCTGGCATTTCCTTCCGTAACTCGTTCAGAGCTGCTGCTACTGCTGAACTTGTCACAGAGCCCAGTCGCCTTGGATCAGCTCTCGGGAGCGTCTGTGGCAGCCCCGTCCAGCTAATCTACACCTGCCGCCTGTCCCAGCTCTTCTGCAGCAGAAAGCAGCACAGCGCACCCCAAAAACCTTGGTCATGCACCAGGAAAAATCACAGTGGCCTGAATCCGATTCTGGCAGGTTTGAGACCGTTTTACTTGTGAGATCAAAAGTCATAAAAGTGAAGCCAAGGATGCACATCCCAGGGCAGCTGGAGGTACAAATGCACCATCAGACACTATGCAATTTCACAGACATCACTGCTACACCTGCCAGAGCTCAACCCCCTCAGCTCCTTCTCTGCTCTGATAATCGCACATTGAAATGGGGCCATGCCCAGCTCCCTGTCCCCACGCATCTTCTCAGCAGAGAGGAGGGTCCCCCATGCCAACATCCTTGGCAAGGCAGGCAGGGGCGGCAAGCAGACAGTGCATGTTTGTGTCCAAAGTCCTCCTCTCGTTTTATTTCACCCATCAGTCACTGCCAGCAGGAGCGTGGTGAGAAAAGCCGTGCCTGGTTCACCAGCACAGGGCCCAAGAGGTGCCCAGGGACCCACACACAACATGCTCCTGGGGTTGCACATCTGGGGATAAGGGTTCTCACAGCCGTCTGGCGCTTGTTCCCCGCACAGAGGGCGGGGGGCATGGCTGGGGATGGAGGCAAGCACCCACATGCCTCCTCCACACTGGAAACCCGTGCGCAAGATACCAGCGGAAGTGGGACTGGCAGCGCTGGTGTAAGAGGAGAGGGGGTGCACACTTTATCCCATGGGGGCACGCATAAGACTCCAAAAAAAATCACAAAATAAGGGGAAGCGGTCTGGCAGATGAGAAGCCCTTGCCCAGCCAGGGTGCGTTGGATGGGTGTGCACAGATGCTGCACCAGCAGGAGACTAGCAGGGGCACAACACGGTGCAGACGCGGGGACATCCATAACGAGTGGTTCCCATGCCCTGCTGGGGAAGGACGGCAAGGGCTGCAGGAGCTCCCGCCGGAGCTGGCACCGGAGGCTGCAGGCAGCTGGGCAACGCTCGGATCCCACTGGATTCCCAGTTTTGTGCACTGGGGGAGGGGACGCCGGGTTCCCACGCACCGAGCTGGGGACCAGGGGCTGGGCACCAGGGGAGGGGGTCCACGGCGCACAGGGGGGTCCTTGGGATCCAGGTGCTGCAGATGCCCTGTGTTGGTTTTGCGTGGCAAGGTTT